TCTTTTGTCAGATGCTTAAGTGGTCCTGACCCCTGACTTTCTCTCCACATTGGATCTCATCCCTCCACTATCCTGATTACTAAGCACAGCCAAGGTGGGTCTTCTTCTGGGCTTAGCCTTGGTGCTGAGGAAGCTGGGAGCCCTGTCATGACATCTGGATTTTGCTGTCCTCTTGATACTCAGGGAATGCTTTCCCTGGTCCCACCTTGCCTAGTCACCTCTACATTTGAGTGATGCTGTGTAGGCTCAGACCCTCCCTGCATCCCCCATCCACGTAGCCTGGCCCAGGAATCAGGGTCTCCTGGGATTGACACAGGGTCTGATGTAACAAGATCAGGGGTTCACCCCCAGGTCCCCCAGCTTAGACAGGATGCCATCTACTGTCAATCACCTACCATCACCACTCCTGTTTGTTCAATTACAAGTAATGAAATCACACCAACCTTGGCTTCTGTGTGTGTGTGTGTGTGTTTTAGGTGCTCAGTCATCTCTGACTCTTTGTGACCTCATGGACTGTGGCTCACCAGGCTCCTCTGTCCATGGACTTCTCTAGGCAAGAATACTGGAATGGGTTGCCATTCCCCTCTCCAGGGAATCTTCCTCACAAAGGGTGTGAACCCGGGTCTCCTGCATTGCTGGCAGATTCTTTACCATCTGAGCTCCCAGGGAAGCCCATTCATTTTTCATTTCTTCCAACCTCAGAATGGAAATTAAAAATGAACATGAAGGTGAAAACACCTGGAAAAAAAAAAAAACAAAAACAGTGCATGTTCAGTCAGCTCTGCTCCTGACCGAGGCAGAAAGCCAAAAAGCACTGACACCTCGCTTCCATCGATGTTTGGATAAGCCTGTCTCTGAGTGCTCCCTTTGTTCCTGGAGGACACACAGGTCCAGGGAAGGGGGGCACTGGCAGAGCACTTCCTGCACTGACATCCTCCAGGCTGCAGAAATTCCCACAAGTGGCTGAGTAGGAAGAAAAGGAAGGTGTAGGTGTTACTCCAGCATTGTCAAATAAGTGGATGAGCAAAATAGGAAGTGGCAGAGAGCAGAGACTGTGTTATTTCAAGCTTGTGATCACATCTCACATGCTCTGCTGAGCCCGTGAACAAAGCAGCCCTCAGAAAACCAGTGCTGGCTGTGGGCGGCACTCAGCCAAGCCGCCGGCAGCCTTCACTCTGCTTCACTCACTTGCTCACCAGTGAATTGACCTCCCCCTGGGGAGTCTGTCACTGGCCTCAGTGTCCTTGAGGCTCCAGCTGCACGTCCGTTCAATTCAACATTTGCTGAACGCTGACTGAGGCCAAGCATTGCACTGGAAAAGGAAGACCCAGCATCCTTGTACTCAATGACCTCCCAGTCATGAGCCATAGCTGACGGTTCTCTCAACCAACAGTTTCAGCAGGTCACTTTCTTGCTCAAGAACTTGCAATAGCTCACTATGTCTTATGTTTCAAAAACAAAACCCCTTGGTCTGACTTTCAAGCGCTCACCATCAACCTAGGTCCACCTAGTCTTGCTAAGTTGTGTCCTCAGTCGTGTCCTTAGTTGTTCAGTTATGTCTGATTCTTTATGACCCCATGGACTGTAGCCTGCCAGGCTCCTCTATCCTTGGAATTCTCCAGGCAAGAATACTGGAGTGGGTTGCCATTCCCTTCTCCAGGGGATCTTCCCAACCTAGGGATTGAACCCGGGTCTCCTGAATTGCAGGCGGATTCTTCACTGCCTGAGCCACCAGGGAAACCCCTAAGTGTAGTGTGAACCCTCATTCTCGCAGGTAAGATGTCCTAACGATGCCATGGCCCGTCCTGTCTTCTCTAGTCATGCTGTAACGTCTTCTTACCTAAACCCTTCAAGACCTGGCTCAGCTTTCTAGCCCTACATGTGCTCCCTCTGTTCTGAGCTCCAGTTCACCGAGAATAAGTCACAGTCCTGCACTTCACTATTCTCTAATTGCCTCACACTGTCTCTCTCCCTCCCTCTCAATTATAAGGTCCTGAAGGGCAGAGACTACCCAACAAATATTTATTAAGCACCTACCATGATCCCCTGCTTATATTTGTCAACGAATTGACTGACAGGCTGGTCCAGGCTCCGGGCTCCTCCAGGAGATGGGCAGCTCTCACAACAGGGAGTTCAAGCCACAGCCTTCTGCTAATCTCCACGCTGTGCCCTTCCCTTCATGACTGCGGGGCATCCTTGAAAGGAGACGAAGCCACAGCCCATCCTCAGAGTCACCTTGAGAAACAGGGCACTGTTGGTTGTCCCCTCATAAGGCCAAGCAAGACCTCATAGGTCATGCCTGAATCCAGCAGTGTCCAGGTGTGGTGATTCCCACCTCACCTGGCAAGGGCCTGGACAGAGGATTCTGAAACCTTGTTTCTGGGTTTCCCCCACTGAGCAGGGTTGCAAGTCCCGGATGGGGCTGGCTGCCCTCCGCCGGCAGGCAGCCCGTCCTCTTAACACTGACATAAAGTTGCTGCGGACTCGGTTTCCAAGGCTGATGCCGGCCTCGGGCACACCTGTGTTGGTTCCCTGGGCCTTCTCTCCACACCCTACCCCCAACCCTTCCTACCACGGGGAGAAACGCCGGGAGAGATGGAGTTCAGGGCGCTTACTGTTTTACATGTTTAACTACTGCCATCTAGTGGCCATGTGGCAGAAACCAAACTCCCCTCCATCCCCCAAAACACCCCTTTCCCAATTTTTACGAAAGAAACAGAGAAAAGAGCTCTTCTTTAAACCCCCCAGAGGTCCTAAAACTGTGGTCGAAGATCACCAGGAGCTTCAGTATCCTCAGGATATTCGCTTGAACGCCCGCCAAACAGTAGGTGTTAGGATCACAGATGTGGCTGTGGATAATAGCCTAGGCACAAGGGCTTTCTCTAAGCCAACTGAGGAGTTGCAAGGAAGGAAGAGGGAAGTGGGGAGAGAAAGGGGGAGAAAGAGGTGGAGGAGAAAAGGAGGAGGAGGGATAGGGAGAAATCAGAGAGAGATTGCAAAGTCTGGACCTGTAGCCACAGAGACAGGATGAGATGCAAAAGCGCGAGACTAATAAGAGGAGGGGTACCAGAGAGACATCCGATCCAGCAAAGCGGGTGAATTACACGCAGGATCCAAGTTGAACTTGCACTTCACAGAGCAAGCTCTGACCTGGAGGTCAGGACAGTGTCATGAGGTATCATCTCCTTTCCTTTCACTTGGTGCTTGGCTGGAGCTCCAGGTTCATTTAAAAAAAAAAAAAGCACTCATTCCTTGGCTTCCCAGGGGGTGCTGGCCACCTGCGGAGCTGACCCCTTCCCAGCTAGTCCACCTTCTCTGTTAGTGACATCAGTCCTTCCCTGACTCCACCCTCCAGCCTTCTGTCACTAAAGCAGCTCTCAGTGATCAAAACATCCACCTGGGCTGAGTGCAGGGTCGACAGGACCCCTGGCAGCCCCCCGGGCAGTGGGGGCCTCAAGCCCTTAGCCGGCCCGTCCCTCCCCCTCATGCCTGCTGCTCTAAGCTCTCCCTTCTTCATCCCCTGCTGCAAGCCTCCTAGCTCCATTTGGAAGAAATATCTTCCTGCTGGAGGAAATAAAAATACAACCAGGCAGGGTGGTACCCCTCGCCTGGTGCCCAGAGAGAGGCTGCCAGGTTCACACCCTCCCCAGGAGACCACTGCCTTCAGTGAGTCCCGTGGAGGTGATGAGGAGGGCTATTAAGCAAATTCATTATTAACTATTTCACATTAGATTCCATTTTTTTTCCCTTTGATGCCAACACAACTAATAAAAATGCACTTTATCTTCTTGGATTTATGGGCTCGTAAAGCTGCTTTCATGTACCTGAGGGAATTGGGATTAAAGGAGAATTAAACATCTCCTGCGCCGGGCCTGCTCAGGTAAGGGAGTCGGGGAAGGACCCAAAAGGGGCAGGGCTGGCGGGGGGAAGAGAGGAGTGATTCAAGGACAAGAAATAAACTGAAGTAAAAACCTGGCAAAAATATGGCTTTAATATATTGTAAAAGAATAAAAACCTCATAAAAAGTTATCACCAGACATGAGGAGTTCGTAATGTCGTCCATTGTGGGTTCTGGGAGGAACTTTCTGGGAGATGAGAGTCGTTAAGTAAGAGCGAGCCCAGGCAGGCGGGAAGAGGCAGGAGGGAGGTGTCTGCAGCCGCAGACAAGGGACCAGAGAAGCCGCCAGCCCCCGGACAGCGGGCCACCGCCGTGGTCCTGTGGCGGGGACGGTCCTGTTCACAGGACAAGGGCGTTTCTCCACGGAGGTCAGCGGGAGATGCCTGCTCCCAGGGTCTAGAGAGGGGGTAGCTAGTCCTGGCTTCCCCGTCAGCCATGAGACTCAAGATGAATCACTTAATTTCTGTTTCTTATTTTCTTCTCAAAGTCTCCCTGGCTACCTTCTTCCCAAAGTTACGGCAAGAACCAAATAGAACTTAGCAAGGCCAGTGAAGGAGATGTGTTTGATTCAAACCAGAGATTTGGAAGCCATTCTTTTTTTTATCGCTTCATTTAATTTTTTTTTTTATCTTTTAGACACACCACACAGCATGTGGGATCTTAGTTCCCCAATCAGGGATTGAACCTGAACCCCTGCACTGGAACGCATAGTCCTAACCAGTGGACCACCAGGGAAGTCCCTGGGAGCCATTTTTGCCATATCCTGGCCTTCCTCCCCCAGTCTAAGCTATCATTAATCTTGCCATTTCTACCTCATTCAAAAATCTCTCTCATTCTCTCCTCTCTCCATCTCTGGCTCCCGGGTGCAAACCACTGTTGTTTCTCATGTAGGCTGTTGCAGTATCTTTCTTGTTGGTATCTTCCAAATTCTTTCTCCACACATTGGCTAGAATGATTTCAAAAATGTAAGTCAGATTATGTCATTGCTTGCTTAAAACTCTTCGAGGGCTTCAATTGAATTAAGGATAAAATTCAGAATCTTTAACCTAGTCTAGAAGGCCTAACTTAGCCAGGCCATGTTTCCAAATTCATTCCACTTTACCCAGGCCTTCTTTCTGTTTCTCTGCCAAACTGAGCTCTATCCTGCCTCTGATCCTTTTGCAATTGCTCATCTTGACCTAAATGGCTCTTCCCTACTCTTTGCATGGTTACTTGCCTCTGTGTGTTAATTTCAATTCAAATGTTGCGTAGACTTCCCCCAAATGTAACTACTTGTGTTGTGACATTTTGTTTTTCCTACAATTGATGTACAACCTACACTGCAACTTGAGTTACATAATTATTTGTGCATTTAAAGGTAATATCTGACTTTCCTACTAAATTGTAACTCTCTGAGGGCAAAGAGTATGCCTGTTTGTTATTCATGACATCCCCAGAACTTAACACCCAGCCCAGTTCATGGTCATTCCTCCATCAACATTCTTTGAACAAAAGAAGAATCTTATATTATTACTAAATACAGGTCCAGGGCTTCCATGACTGGTGTAGAAGGGAAGAGAGAATTTGGGAGGAGGCAAGGAAGAACCTTCTGGGTAAAGCAAGACAAGACATAAGAAGAGGAGGTTAGAAACAATGCAGACAGGTGATTAGGGCAGTCATCCTTTTTTCAAGCCTTTTCTGTCTCCACATTGTCGATTTAATTCAATTCATCCCTGAGGGTAGAATGTGCAAGACTGTATATTCAATAAAAATGGGAGATCTCAGCAGAATTAGACATTGCCCCTGCCTTCCAAGCAAGCAAAGAGCACAAGTATTAACAGGAAGGGAGCCAGGGCCCCAGAAATGAGAGAGGAGATCGCCAATCAGAGGACACAGGCCTCTTGAGTTCTGGGGTCTTGTCCTGACTGCATCACGCAGGGCCTCACAGGCAGTCATCCCTGTAAGGTCCTGACAGCTCTGGATCTCATCCTCAGCTTTGCAGAGAAAAGAATTCACTTATTGCCAGTGAACAGAGTTGGCTTGTCCTGACCAAACTTACTGAAGACCCATAAGGCCAGTTAATTTATTTATACTGGGGAAATACAAGTTCTACCAAGAGGACCTTTTCCCTGGAACCAGGGATGCATGAATGTCTCCCCATAGCTACCACCCATATTGCCCGCTGAATTGTTTTCAGAACCTGTAGTATGCCAAGTTCCTGCTTGCCTCTCATCGTGGGCATTGATCTAGGTCATTCACAGTGTTTGAGCTGCTCTGTCCTACTGCACCTCCCTTCCCTTTTATATGGATAACACCAGGTCTCCATTTCAATGCCTCTTGCTCTCAAATCTCTGATTTGTATACCAGGTTAGGTCTCTCTAATAAATGTTCTTGGAGTTCCTCATGTTTTTGTTCATCACTCATCCAACAAATATTTATTTATACTTATTTGAGTTACTATATGCCAAGCATTGTTCTGGATATCAAGGATGTGTCAGTGAACAAAACAGACAAAAATGTCTGAGCTGTGAGGGCAGAAATGCTACACGCACACAAACACAAGTGGATTGTAAGCTCTTTGGGAACATTGAAAATGCATTTCTTGGTACTAATTAATTTATTCTTTCTCCATTCATAAAATAGATATTTCTTGTATGCCTTTCCTGGGGTCAGGCACTCTGCTAAGGTATAAGATGCTGTTTGGCATAACAAATATGTGTGGTTCCTACCTTTATATATCATACAATATAAGGGAAGCAGTTAAGACTAAAATGAAAATACAAACAAATAACAGATGCTATGAAGGGAATGGATGGGATACTTTAAGAGAGAATAATAGGTGAATGTCTGGTTGAGATCTTGTGGCCAGGGAAGACTTCTACAAGGCAATAACATTTAGGATGAAATCAGAAGGATGATTAGAAGATTAGGAGGGTAAGAGGAAGCTAGCCATGGGGAATGTGAGAGGAATAACATTGTGGGCAGAGGGAAGAACATGTGGGCGAAGTCCTGAGGAAGGAAAAAGTAGGCACATCTATGGACTGAGGGCTTTCCTGGTGGCTCAGTGGTAAAGAGTCTGCCTACAACGCAGGAATCCTGGCTTCAATTCCTGGGTCGAGAAGCCCCTGGAGAAGGGAATGGCTACCCACTCCAGTATTCTTGTCTGCAGAATTCCATGGACAGAGGAGCCTGGAGAGCTACAGTCCAGAGGGTCACAAAGAGTCAGACATGACTGACTGACTGTCTAGCACTTTCACTATACTTCCTGTGGACTGAAAGAAGGTCAGTATGGCTGAAGATAGTCAGTGAGAGGGAAAATGGTAAGAAATGAGGTTGAGAAAATAGCCAGGGGCCAGCCCCTACAGAGTCTTCTGGATCATGATAAAAATATTTTGTTTTTATCCTAAGTTCAATTGGGAAGCCATGGGGATGTTTAAGTGGTGACTTCCCAGGTGGCTCAGGGGTAAAGAATCTGCCTGCCAATGTAGGAAAGTCAGCTTCAATCCCTGGGTTGGGAAGATCCCCTGGAGTAGGAAATGGCAACGCACTCCATTATTCTTACCTGGGAAATCCCATGGATAGAGGATCCTGGTGGGCTACAGTCCATGGGGTCACAAAGAGTCGGACTTGACTTAGCAACAAAACAACAACAACATGAGCTATGTTAGGTCAGGGCTTCCCTCAGTTGGTAAAAGTTTCTACCTGCAATGCAGGAGAACCCAGTTAGATTCCTGGGTCAGAAAGATCCTCTGGAGAAGGGATAGGCTACCCACTCTGGTATTCCTGGGCTTCCCTGGTGGTTCAGCTGATAAAGAATCTGCCTGCAATGTGGGATCCCTGAGTTGGGAATATCCCCTGGAGAAGGGATCTTATATGCAGAGTACATCATGAGAAATGCTAAACTGGATGAAGCACATGCTGGAATCAAGACTGCTGGGAGAAACATCAATAACCTCAGATATTCAGATGACTCCACACTTATAGCAGAAAGTGAAGAAGAACTAAAGATCCTCTTGATGAAAGTGAAAGAGGAAAATTGAAAAAGTGACTTAAAACTCAACATTCAGAAAACTAAAATCATGGCATCTGGTCCCATCACTTCATGGCAAATAGAGGGAGAAACAATGGAAATAGTGAGAGACTTGATTTTGGGGGCTCCAAAATCACTGCAGATGGTGACTGCAGCTATGAAATTAAAAGACTTGCTCTTTGAAAGAAAAGTTATGACCAACCTAGACATCGTATTAAAAAGTAGAGACATTACTTTGCCAAGAAAGGTCCATCTAGTCAAAGCTGTGGTTTTTGCAGTAGTCATGTATAGATGTGATAGTTGGACTATAAAGAAAGCTGAGTGCTGAAGAATAGGTGATTTTGAATTGTGGTGTTGGAGAAGACTCTTGAGCATCCCTTGGACAGCAAGGAGATCCAACCAGTCCATCCTAAAAGAAATCAGTCCTGAATATTCATTGGAAGGACTGATGCTGAAGCTGAAGCTCCAATACTTTGGCCACCTGATGGGAATTGCTGACTCATTTGAAAGGACCCTGATGCTGGGAAAGATTGAAGATGGGAGGAGAAGGGGACAACAGAGGATGAGATGGTTGGATGGCATCACTGACTCGATGGACATGAGTTTGAGTAAGCTCGGGGAGTTGGTGATGGGCAGGGAAGCCTGGCATGCTGCAGTCCATGGGGTCACAAAGAGCCGGATATGACTGAGTGACTAAACTGGACTGGAGAGTTCCATGGACTGTGTAGTCTATGGTGTCACAAAAAGTCAGATATGACTGAGCAACTTTCACTTTCACTTTCTTTCATGAACGTGTGGAAACCAGTTAGGAGACTTTTAGAGAGGTTAAGATGTCACAATACTTTGGACTAGAATGATAGGTTTGGAGTCTTTTTGGAGAATAAATTGGCATACTTTGGGATTACATTGGATGTGATAGCTAACTGTCTTATACTGTGCATGACTAATACAGAAGGTTCAACAACATTTACTGAAGCACCTTGGAGAAGTACATGCCCATAGCAATTCTTCTTGATATTCATAGTCATTCACCTCGCTATATTCATTTTCTCATGCCAAGGAGAGAAAAGTATTAGTCATCCAAAGTGCTCTGCTGACTAGTGAGTAACTTTCCCTTTTGTGGTGACTTCAGCTTTAGGCAAAGCAGTGTTGGACTTCCTCAACACGCTCCCTTACATCTGAAGCCTTAGTTTTTGTCACAATCTCTACACATGTTATGTTTAGGTGGACATCAGTAGAACTGCTCTGGGAGACCTCAGAGGCCTGGAACAATGTTGCTTTGAAGAACAATTCACAAGAAGGGAGGACAGATTGAATTCAGAGAGATTGGGACAAGCTCTGTCTCTCAGATCCTGGATGATCTGGGACTAGAGGTACACCGCACTCTTCAAGTCAAGAAGATCCCTGTCCTTTCTAGGGTTTGTACTCATCCAGCATCATGACTGTCTACTATGTGCCAGGTGCTTTCCGGATGCCAGCAGTGCAATGATAAACTATTTTTAAAAAGTGCCTTTGTGGATGGAATTTTTGAAAGGCTAAACAACTGTGCATAGATATGAGATGCAACTGTGGCATCTTCAAGCTGGAGAGAAGCAGGGACAGTCTCAGCCTTTCCCACCAGGAACTCAGGTCTTCAGAGAGCACTCATCCATGAACTGTTCACTTAACTTGTCTTTGTCCTCCTCACAGGGAGATCCGTGGCTTTGAGGAAAATTTCTTGGCAATCAGCTCATGCGTGATTTATAAGTTTATGGTTCTGGGAGGCATCTGAATGTCGGGGCATAGATCTCAGTAATTAATCCTGGGAGGTCCCTAATGACAGAGGGGACTGTGCTGTATGAAAGTTGCTTTAACACTAAACAGTCTGTGTTATCTAACAAATGAGAACATTTCACACCCAATAAACGTCACTTTTGATAAGTGCTACTAGCAGTCGTAAATCTGACAAATAACAGCACGCAAGATCTCACCCACACTCACCCTCCCCCTGCCCATCTTCTGCAGGACTGTCTAACTCTCTGTGTGCTTTGGGGAAGAACAAGGCCAGAGCCCACATCTGTCCTGAAGGAAACCTCTGGGGCTCTGCGTGGGGCAGATGCACAGCCAGCAGCTCCACTGTGCCTACAACATAGCACATACATCCAAGTGGAAGCTTTGCCATGG